TAATTTACCATGTTTTTATTAAATTGTCATCAAGTTAAATGCAAACTCTGTTGTATAAAAGAAATTCATAATATGACACCCATATAAACTGCTTGCCTAAAAAGACAAGTTTATTGTGTGTGTAGTTAATAGATTTCACTAGGCTACTTTAAGCCTTACCCTGGAGTTGGTTCATGCTCTGCCTATGAGGACATTACTGGACAAAATGTGGAAAATCTGACTAACCAAAGTAACTGTGTTATTTTTAAAGCCCTACTCTGAATTTTACATGTTAAATATGCAACGCTGGAATAGGATAAACTATTTTATCATGACCTTTAAGTTAAGCTGCTACTGATTTGACATAGATGACCACCTCTGGATGTTAACTTACACACAGAATCACAACCAGTATTGCACAAAATCCAGGTGTCTTAATCTAATCGTGTTCTGTAATAATGTGGCAAGTCTTTTTTTCACGTAATTACTTACCATTGATGCATTATAATGATCCTCGGAAGCACTTTAATTAGATTTGAATCATTAATGAGAAACTCATGGTTAACGAAGTTTGATTGGACATGTGAGTGTGCAGAGACAGACCCACATGTACGCTTACAAAATACACACACACACACACACACACCACAAATGAAGGGATTTAGATAACTGAATCATTTTTGTAAAGTGTTATTTTCCGGTGTAAAGGGTGTTTTTGCACATGGGTGTGTGTGTGTGTGTGTATCTATATTTTGAGGACAAATTTGTACTCTGAATTACAAACCTGACAAAATCTCCCAAAACCTCCTTTTGGGGACATTCTCGTTTGTAAAAAGTATAAAAATAACAAATTTAAAGAAAGTTCTCTGTTCGGGTTTGTGGTAACCATAGACTGTATAAAAACAGTCGTAGTGTCCGTGACATCACCCGTAGGTTTCTGAAGAACGGTTTTGAAGCTCAGAGTGGGAGGAGCCAGCCGTCGCCATCTTAGCAGTGCGTCACTCCCAGATAATTGAAAATGGGCAAAGAGGTGGGAACTGGTTGCTGAAACCACGCCCACCTAGCTCTACGCCGGTGTTAGCAGCGGCAATCCACCTGTCACTCAAGTGGCCACGCCCTTAATTATGCAGAACTTTAAGGCTTAATATAATTTAAATGGATGAGTTATTAAAAAAATTCACCCCCCTCACACTTGTCATGAAGGGCAAAATTAGCTATATAGACCAAAATCATTTTTTGTACCAGGCTGTAAACATACTTTTTGTGCTGTAAAGTTGGGCATTTTAACATGGGGAGTCTATGGGACTGACTCCCTTTTGGAGCCAGCCTCTAGCGGCCAGTCGATGAATTGCAGTTTTAGTCACTTCCGTGTTGGCTTCACCAGAGAGAAACCTGACAAAATCTCCCAAAACCTCCTTTTGGGGACATTCTCGTTTGTAAAAAGTATAAAAATAACAAATTTAAAGAAAGTTCTCTGTTCGGGTTTGTGGTAACCATAGACTGTATAAAAACAGTCGTAGTGTCCGTGACATCACCCGTAGGTTTCTGAAGAACGGTTTTGAAGCTCAGAGTGGGAGGAGCCAGCCGTCGCCATCTTAGCAGTGCGTCACTCCCAGATAATTGAAAATGGGCAAAGAGGTGGGAACTGGTTGCTGAAACCACGCCCACCTAGCTCTACGCCGGTGTTAGCAGCGGCAATCCACCTGTCACTCAAGTGGCCACGCCCTTAATTATGCAGAACTTTAAGGCTTAATATAATTTAAATGGATGAGTTATTAAAAAAATTCACCCCCCTCACACTTGTCATGAAGGGCAAAATTAGCTATATAGACCAAAATCATTTTTTGTACCAGGCTGTAAACATACTTTTTGTGCTGTAAAGTTGGGCATTTTAACATGGGGAGTCTATGGGACTGACTCCCTTTTGGAGCCAGCCTCTAGCGGCCAGTCGATGAATTGCAGTTTTAGTCACTTCCGTGTTGGCTTCACCAGAGAGGTTAACCAGAAGGTTGCCGCTTAGTGGTAACCAAGAGCGAAGGCTTATTTTGGATAGAATCAACAATGAACCGACTTTAACTGAAAAAACTGTTGTCCTTTTGCATTATCAGCACGTTTTTCCTGTTTAACACTGTAAAGCTGCTTTGACAATCTATATTGTATAAAGCACCAAATAATTAAATGAGACTTGACTAAACAACATATGCTCTTTTCTTTTATCTCTTCATGTTTTTGAAGGAAATGGATGAGGAAATGTTTTGTTCCACTGTACTAGAATTTTTGGAGATTCCTTGAAAACTTACTGTATAATTTGATTATAATATTGAAAATGCACTTTTGTCAGCTAATGCGCAATTCTAAAGAGCACTGCACATAAAATTGTGTTTGCATGTTGAATAAATGTCTTTCTGTTAGTCAATATGTAATAATTGAAAATAAACAAATATTGGTGTAACCATGTCTACAAGGTCAATGTCAACCTATTTAAAACAAACATATACACCAGGTATTTTACTGGAAGTGTGCTACTAACCCATACGCAATTGTATCTTTTTTTTCCTATGTCTCCTTTATATGGGTCAAATTTGCAATTCTGCCATGTTTGTTAAGCTTTACAGAGCCATATTTCCTTGATGAAAAACAACTTCCTCTTTCATGGTGTTCATTTTTCTCTTCTAATCCTTGGCTGATTCTGTTCACTTGCATGACCATGCCTTTCCCGATAACGACTGCATAACCCTTAACCTTGGCTCATGGCCATATGGTCATAAGAAATCCCTTATGCATTGTGGTGCATATTCATAGCGCTCTTTACTATATCAGTGCCTGAGGGTATTGCAAGCTTGAACATTTTTGACCTCCTGTTACCACTGTGTGTGATGTGGGAGGATTCACAAAAGTTTCATAGCCCTAGAACTTTCACGGTTGCAGAAATGCTATGTTGATGGTTTTTAACTTAAAGAGTTAAATTGTTGCTCTTTTCAAAGCAATAGACCTTAGTCAGGGTAAAGTGGCATATTCATCCATGCACTCCATTGTTCAAAACATCAAGAAAATGGAATATATAATGACATTGAGATATCTTTGTCTTCTTTAACCAATATCAAGAGATGAGGTAATATGCTAATATAGAAACATGGCATGTAGAAGTTGGCCTTCAGCAGAAAGCTCTGCACTGCGCTCCGCCATCTTGCTTTTACAGAGCGATGCATGTAGCATATCACTCTTGCAGACTCACAGAAAAAAAAAAAGCTTGGATGCTAAGGATGGCTACACTATATCTTTACATAGCAGATAGTTGTTTGCTGATTCTAAATTCTAAAAATCGTATGTAGCACCTTTAAATATTCACTAACAATCTTGACATTTGCCCTAGTCCTCTCTGGTGAGTTCATTGAAGAAGAGCTGTCTGATTCATGAACAAACTGAGTTTCCATTAGGTTTAAACTTATTTTTACATTTTTGATGAGCTGTATGTATGTGTGTTGTTCAGTGTTAATATGTGAATAAAAGTCTTAATAAGTCTGTTCATCATATAAAGCTATAGCGTCAAGTAAAATCACATTTATTTAGCACTTTATACAACAAGCTTCTCATTAATAAAGGAAAATACCAGTGTTAATGTCGCAAAATTCATCAATTGTGAATTCCATTTCAGAAGTAAAGCAGCTGTACAGAAGACAATAGTGTCATTATTTAGCTCAATTCAGATCAGTGTTGATTCAGTTCAGATCAGTAACACTGTAAATTTAATCTATTAGGAAGTGAGTTCAGTTCACCTATAATCAGCTCTACAGATGAAAGTAGTGTCAATCAAATCAATTAATTTCGATGTTTATTCAATTTAGTTCAATAACTCGTGTCGTGTTCATCAAACTCAGCTCATGTAATTCAGGTCTATAGAAGATGATAGTGTAATTATTTGGCTAATTTTATTTTTAGTTATTTATTTATTTTTATTCAGTTATAATAACTAATAAATAATAAATGTTCCAAAGTTAAGAAATTGTGAAGATCAATCAATTCAGCTATAAGCAGAAGCCAATAGTGTCATTATTCTCAATAGCTCAAAGTTGTCCGTGTCTCTTTAGAAGACTTATTAAACAGCTTGATTCATATGGATTACTTTAAGATGTTCTTATGAATTATTTGAGGCTTGAAGGTTTAAGTGGAATGGACTTTCAATGGAGGGACAGAAATCTCTCAGGTTTCATAAAAAATATATTCATTTAAGTTTTAAAAAGATGAATGATTTGGGTGAACTATCGCTTTAAACTATTTGTTCATGATTTAGACATCCAGTTTTGAGTTAATCTCACTGACTCAATGATCCGTTTGTACAGTAGCTCAGTGGACTGCAGGACTTTCAGTGAATAATGACTTAAAGTGTTACTGTTCCTTACAAAATATGTCACTGAGGCGGTACAAGCAACCGAGTTGTTGTGAGACAGATTAATCAATCTAGCAAACAGGTCTGATGTGGAGCGCTGTGAAACTCTCCCATCTGCTGGTCACTTTGAGTACTGCATAACTGATTGATGGGGATATTGGTGTAAATCCTTTGCTTTAATTTGCCACTGCATGGTATATTAAATAAAAGGTGAGACTTGTTATGGCACTGTAGTGACAGAAAAGTCAGTAACTCAAGAGTTCGTTGCTCTTTTCACCGCTCTTTCAGTAGGGACTGAGGTTTTCAAGCTTCATAAAGAACCATAGCAATATCATAAATAGAGACAAACTCTATTTTATATTTTATCTATTTGCCATATTTGATTTGCTCTATGCATGTGTGTTGATTAATGTTAATATGTGAATAAAAGTAAATTTATTCTAAATTAAATTTGTTAATCGTATAAAGCAATGGTGTCTAACTCTGAAAAAAGTATGCTCTGGGATTATTAATGTTAGGCTTTTCCAATATAATAATGCATAAAATCCAACCAACAGATGTTTGAAAGTTTAATGGTTTGCATTCATTCACTCTCTTTGTTTATTTATTTGTTTCTTTCTTGCTCTCTCTGCAGGCTGTCTACAAGCCCTGGCTCTGCACTCAGTATTTCCAGAGTCCTCAGTCAGGCTGCAGTCATAAGATTCCCTGTGAGCAATACTGTCTTGAGGTCCAGCAGAGGTGTCCGTTCATATTGCCTGACAATGATGACCTTATACATGGTGGTACTCCCAGTTTTATATGTGCAGGTCGGTATACAACTCTGTATCGCCAGAACTGAATTGTACTTTGTAAGATCTATTGTTTACAGCAAAGTTTTCAAAGTTTTTGTATGATTTATATCTTTGCATTATGCACTGTATCTATGTTAAACGTCATTTAAGTGTTCATAATTCCATGTTTTGTGCCAAGCAGCATTCTAATGTTGCTAATAAAGCAACGAATAGTCAAAATATAACCATTGAAACATCTAAATCATGTATCAACATTTAATCATTACAATAAAGTAATTACAATAAAGTCACGTAACACATAAAACACATCAAAGAGGTCAAAAGTAGCAAGATCAGCAGGAAAACCAAGTTTGATTTAAATAATATTAATAATAATAATTAAAAAATTATTTTATTGTTTCATAGAGCAGAGCTCATTCATTTCTCAGTATAATTTCAGCACTTCTTTAAAGTAAATGCATTACTGAAATGAACCGTGCTATTTGGATTATCATACAGCTTTTTAGTGACATCTACTGGACAATTGGTGGAACTGTCAGACCTCTGCTAAAAAAAAAATAACAAACAATAATTTTGTAGTCATTTAATGTAACATGAGAAACGGAGCAACACATCCACTGTTTTTTTTTCCTTTTGAAATGAACATACACAAATGTAATATACTGTATGCACATATATAAAATTTTCATATGTTATATGAAGTAAAACATAGCCTATATAAAGCAATGAGAAGATGGAATGAGCCAAAACGAATATGTGTGTTTATATACTGTATGTGCAATATATGTTTTTGGACATATATGTCATCTACATGTATAACCATCCTAAACCCCATCAATACATGTTGATATTATAAAAATACTGCAAATATAAAAGATAAGACATGTATATAAATTATTTATTACAAAAACATACTGTATATAAATGTACATATTTTTTGTATATTTGTTGTTTTAATACAATTGTATACATAAAATAAATATTGTTCATACTGTTGATATATATATATAGTTACATATATGGTTGTGCATATAAAAAAATCCTATATTTTATGTACATACACAACTTTTACTATGATATTTTATGCATGTTATGAACTTATTATAACTTGTTATAAATCTTCAACTAGAGAATGCATGTATGTGAAAATTACATATAGCCTTATAGGCAACATACAGTGGGTACGGAAAGTATTCAGACCCCCTTAAATTTTTCACTCTTTGTTATATTGCAGCCATTTGCTAAAATCATTTAAGTTAATTTTTTCCCCTCATTAATGTACACACAGCACACCATATTGACAGAAAAACACAGAATTGTTGACATTTTTGCAGATTTATTAAAAAAGAAAAACTGAAATATCACATGGTCCTAAGTATGTAACATGAGAAACGGAGCAACACATCCACTGTTTTTTTTTCCTTTTGAAATGAACATACACAAATGTAATATACTGTATGCACATATATAAAATTTTCATATGTTATATGAAGTAAAACATAGCCTATATAAAGCAATGAGAAGATGGAATGAGCCAAAACGAATATGTGTGTTTATATACTGTATGTGCAATATATGTTTTTGGACATATATGTCATCTACATGTATAACCATCCTAAACCCCATCAATACATGTTGATATTATAAAAATACTGCAAATATAAAAGATAAGACATGTATATAAATTATTTATTACAAAAACATACTGTATATAAATGTACATATTTTTTGTATATTTGTTGTTTTAATACAATTGTATACATAAAATAAATATTGTTCATACTGTTGATATATATATATAGTTACATATATGGTTGTGCATATAAAAAAATCCTATATTTTATGTACATACACAACTTTTACTATGATATTTTATGCATGTTATGAACTTATTATAACTTGTTATAAATCTTCAACTAGAGAATGCATGTATGTGAAAATTACATATAGCCTTATAGGCAACATATATGGCAGTTCTCACTCAATTCTCACACAGTATCGATATAGGGTAGTATTCCATATTACATTTCTGTATACCACATAACAATCTGGTATAAGCACTTCATGCACATCCCTCTAATCTCTCATATTCATCAACAATCATTAATAATATCATTCACTGTAATCATAACATACACTCTAAAAAAATGCTGGGTTAAATACAACCCAGTGCTGGGTAAAATAGGGACAAACCCAGCAATTGGGTTGTTTTGACCCAGCGGTTGGGTTACTACCCAGAAGGTTGGGTTAAACATTTAACCCAACCGCTGGGTCAAAACAACCCAATTGCTGGGTTTGTCCCTATTTTACCCAGCACTTTTTAGAGTGTATAATATCATAATATCATATCACAACATAACATAACATAACATAACTAGTTTAATAATAATATTAATAATCAGCATAATTTACATCATTTATCAGATGGTTTTGTAAATGAGGAAAAGCTTTTTATCATATACAGTAGGAGCTAACAATATAAGCAGGGACAATATTTTTAGGTTAAATCAAAGACAGAAGCATACAAATAGTCGATGTCAGCACTAAACTAGATTTTGCTCAAGTGTGAACATCATGGCTTTAAAATCAGTCATTTGGAAATTCTTTCATCTTTCCTTCTTTTATCAAGAGCTGACCATTTATTTCTGCTTATATTCAGCTTTAATCTGCATACGATGTCACAGGAATGTCAGTGCTATGAGAAGCAATTAATGAGCACACAGAAGCATCTTTGTAATTAACGCTGCAACCTTATACTTTTCTTTAATTCATGATAAAACCGCCAAATGCTTTTCAAAGCATGTACAAATGCTTTACATGGTGAAGTCTTCAAACAGCTTTAAAAACCTGCTTTAATTTTTCAGCAAATGAAGAAGCAGTTAGTAATACATGATGAAATAACAAAATGACTTTAACAGGCATTTTAATGTACAGACCTTTTAATTCACCATTTCACTTTGCACTAGGAGATTATCTAACTTTTCCCTTTCAGTTTCAGCTGTTATTTTCACATCACGATGGTTTTGTCTTCTGTTCAGTGGTTTCAGAGCAACCTGGAAAGTAACTTGGGTGTTCATGGTCCTGTCAAATTCTCTCTTTATATGTTGCGTGCCAGTATTTTGTGTAATTTGAGAGCGAGTGTCACATCACAAAGTCATCAGCACCATTCAGACAGGCTACTGGTAGAAGATTCACATGTCTCTCTTTCAAATGTGTACATTTTCATCCTAAATAAAATAAAATAATAAAAAGGACTATGTTTAAGATGTACTGAAAGCCTCAAAATCAAATCAGCAATTGGCACCCCATCTAATTAGCGAATATTGTTTTTCTTCTCCACCTTCTAAGAAACATATATAACCACCTTGCATTATTTTAGAAACTGATGATTATTCCCCTAACTGTATGACAAATCTTGGTGCTTGGTGGAGTTTGCTGCAGTTTGTCTCAACTACCATGAGATAGTTCTTTTTGTTCTAAGATCTCCATCTCCATAACATGTACATGGTATGGAGATGTTCACTCTACTGATGTTCACTCTCAGAAAAAGGGACATAAGTTGTCACTGGGCTGGTACCCTTTAAAGAGGGACTAATATGTACCGTATTGTCCTGTTGACATACTGTGCTATGGCTGATAATGTTTGATCTTACTATGCCACTGTTGTCAATGTCATTCCTACACTCTAAAAAAAATTCTGTAGTTTTTACAAAATAATTTTAGCAGCTGTGGTTGCCAGAATAATTTTGTAAGTCAAAGACTGCTCATATATAATCTAATCCTGAATCTGGCCTTGCTGTATAAGATCTAGTTTACCGTCTAGAATCAGTCAGTATTTCCCAGATATCCCTCTCGTTCCCCAGGATCTTTCAATCAGTTTAATTACATAGTGTCATAAATCACATAAACAATCCTCATCCCATCTATGTCAAAACCTCTGTTCTTCTGATATAAATTGTATTTTTTTTAATGAAACCTGTCCTCTTTGAGGTTTTTTGTTGTTTCTGTTGTTCAGACACTTTTGTTTATCATCTTTTAAAAGATTTTAATCACTGTTCACCACTTGTCAAAAAAGTGTGATTTACAAAGATGAATGCTCTCCTCCTCTGCAAAGGTTGCAACTGGAACCTGCGGTTTACAAGCAAATAAATGGACACACGGTATATAGAAATAACAGTTATTATTACAGTGTCATATTGTCATACAATAGATGCTTTAGTTCAATGATTCTCTCTGGGTTTTTTTTACACAAAGAATCCGATTAATATTTATAAATCACTGGTCATGACCTTTTTTTGAAGGTAAGATGAAAATACAGCTACATTTATTAAAGTTCTGTTCTAAGGGAAAATAAATAGAGATATAAACTATTATGAATCTGCTGTCTGTGTTTTTCTGACTATCTCTGTCTGTGTGTTTTTTTAAAGACTATCTGCCCAATGCAAACTGCTTATGATAAGAGAAAGTATGCAAATGTTTTGGTGTAATATCACAACATTTGGTTTGTAGTATCAACTCATCTAGGACATTTACAGTAAGTCACTGCCATAAAAGGATAATTTACCCAAAAATGAAAAATTGCGGATAAAAATATTTGCTGAAAATTTGCCACTCCAGACTCTTGTGAACGTGATCAGGACTGTTTCCATGAGGCTATGGATTAGGTATATTATGTCTATTAATTTTGTGTTGCCTGGCTGCGTTCCACTTCACTTTTAGACATACATTCACGAACTTCCCTACCCTGGTAGCACATCACGGAGATGTCTGTTTGACGATTGCATTTATAAGGCATATTTTTTTGAGTGTTTGCTCATCTGCAATATGTCTATTGGACGTTTCTTATCAGATGTGCAAACAGACGTTTATAAAATGTTTTTAAGATGTTCATGATTTAAAATTCATGTAAAACTGACATCTTAAAGATGTTTATCAGATGTTTGTACACAGCAGATGCTTTCCAGATGAAGCAAGCTTTAACAGACATCTTGCCGATGTACGTGTGCTATCTGGGTACGCACTTCCCCTCGGGGGAATCCCTGCTGCC